AAAGGTGAATGGCAAGTCACTGGCCTAAAGTGAATGGCTAGTCACTGGCCAAATGTGAATGGCCAGTCACTGGCGAAAGGTGAATGGCCAGTCTCTGACCTAAAGTGAATGGCCAGCCACTGGACAACGGTGAATGGCCAGTCACTGGCCTAAAGTGAATGGCCAGCGACTGGCATAAAGTGAATGGCAAGTCACCAGACGAGGACGAAAACACTTCTATTGCCGAGCACTTTGGCCAAGCTTGGGCCATCGAAAATCTGTTTGGCCATAGTACACTTGCCAGCGATGGCCCATTCACAACGTGCTGCTTGGGTGGGGCCCTAGCAACAGATTAAACATAAAATAAACAATAAACCTAGCGTATTTTGAACATATCAGGTTAAAGAGATTCAGAATTTTGAGCAAATTTTCTTTTGTTGATGACGTCCTTGGTCTGAACCAGTAGAGAACCGAAACGACAAGAGCGTGCAACAACCATACGCGATCTTCCTAAGTGTTGGAAATTAACATCCAGTTATGAAGATGTGAACGCCCCACCAATTTACGGGTGTTACAAGCAAATATTTGAGTGAGAGTCACGTGCTTGAAAGGATCAGAAGGGGTCCTTGCGCCTATTCAGCCAGTCCTACCTCTAGAATTTTATGTCATCATTATCCCACGTTCTAGACCAATGTCGGCACTGAACGTTCGTGTTTGACACTGATAGGCACGCCGTTCGAAGGAGCATTTGATTTTCTTCGTTCCTTTGCAATGCCGGTTTAAGCTGAAACAAAGTATAGCAAAAGGGGATCTCCAAATTGTAAAGTTGTGCAGTATATATAGCAGTCTCGCGATGATGTTCTGCAGTCTAAAAGAATGTAAGAGCGCGCATGACTGATAAAGCACGGAGTTGTAAAATTAGGCCCCAAAACAAGTGCACGACTATTTGCACGTGGAGAGCAGCAGCTCCTTTTCTATCTACGGTGTGTCGTTTGCTTCACCCACTTCTTCTTAAGTGCCCTGGTCTGTTGACACACGCCGAGGGTTAAGCGGCTTTTGACCTATTGAGCTCGACCAATTGAAACGTCGGGCCACTAAATGTTTAGGACTTGGTTTGTGAAAGTCTGTATTTCTCAACTTTTTGACCCAACCAGACGGAGTTCTGTCAAACGTGTTTACGTTTAAAACATCCATTCCTATATATTTCTTTTCACAGTAATTGGCGTCTTGAATGGCATTATTCAGAAGAATATCATTTATTATCTCTATTTCTGCCCATTTTGTGTATTTGCCTTCAAATCTATAACGTAAGCACACAGTTCTTTTTGGCATTTCCCGTGAGCCGGTGTTTCACACTGCCAAAGAGCGAACAAATAAGCCCGTTCCGCAGACTCAACGGATGGCTATTTTCGAGTATCATCCTCCCGTATCGGTCTCAAGCGGTTATGTGAACTCCATACAGTCAAATTGATCGATGACAATAGCAAATATTTACTTACTACCTGAAGACTTGACAACATAGATAAAGGGACGATCACCATAAAGACATACATCATAAGTTAATGCACCCACACATTATCCCCTGAAATATGCTCTGGAAATCTTTTCCGGCATTTTTATCCTCGAGAGGCACTTGCATAAGTTATTTGAAAATAACTTAGCGATTTTTTTTTTTCATTTTGAAGCTGATTTAAATGACACGTGTTCCTGACGAGTATTCATCTTCTCAAACATATAGAAGTCGGTTGCATATTTTATTTGATGAACAACGATTTTATGTGTCTGTGGGCTGGATGAAAACAAAGCACACAGTGGCGCGTGGCGGAACTGTGACGATTGCGCACGCAGACCGTCAGAAAGTGACCAATTAAGCAGCTGTAATGTCGAGTAGACTATGAAATACTACTTTGTTCTATTTAACAACAAATCACCAATTAGCAAAGGTGATGCTTATTTACAAAGTGAATTGACCGGCATCTTGTCAAGAACAAATATCAAACGCCAAGCTCTGTCGAAAATATCCACTTCAATGCGCTCTATTTTAGGCCAGATCCGTGCTGAATACGAAGGTCACTCTTTTCTGCATAATTATTCGCCTGCGTCATGGTGCTGAATGAAAACAATATTAGTCAGGAAAGCAAGCGTTGTGCTTGCCGCTCAGTGTTCTATAAAAGGTAGACTGAAAGGGTTTGTGCTAAAGCTTTCCTGACATTTTGAAAATATTATTGCTTTTAGCTTAGTTGTATCGTCATCATATATATTGTGAAACGTATTTTATAATCTAGATTTCAGGATATATATGGCGAGAACGTGCCCATTTTATGATTGTATGCACTGTCATTATTTTTTTAACTACAAGAGCACAGTAGGGCTCGACTTTTAATATTGCGACGCGATGGTCTACTAATCACGTGCATTTTAGGCGACACACCAGACTGATAACCTTTAGATTCAGGTAAAATATATGCGACTGAGGTAAAAAGAATTAGATGTTCGGTCATATATGTTAATCTAGCTTTTGATTTACTGTTTCATCCAAATGAAACAACGCAATTTATTTTTGGTACCTGAAAATAAAAGTGGATTCAATAAATGAAAACAATAAGGTAAATAGTTACTCGTTTCACTCCTGAAAAGTGCCTATTAGCCCCGAGAAGTTCGCGTGGCGCCCTCTTATGGCAAACCGGGGTGACGTCACGGCGAGGAGAGAATTTTTCCCCGGCTCGCCCCGCTCGCCCTGTGGAGGCTGTGACGATGCCAGCTGCCGGCGCGCTCGTTTCTATATAACTTTTTTCGGCGTGTTTTTCGTAGGAAGTGTAATTTTTTTTATGTGCCTTTATTGAGGTATGACCTGCAGCTACAGGCGAAACTTCAACCAACATTTTAAGCATGGTTGACAGGGTAGGCAACGCATGAATCGCAGCTGGGATATGAAAATAGAGAAATATGGCCACAATTGCAGAAGCATCACTAGGGTCCATATCACAAGAGCGAATCACATTTTAGCGAACGGCGACATTTGAGCGAATGGTCGTTTTAGCGAATAACGGGGGCGCGCGTTAACCCACCGTCGCGCTGCGCTTTACGCCGCTTCGCGGCGACAGTCTGCGGCTACTCATTACAAAAATATGAACTCACTTGGCCCACCCGAAAACGCCGCTTCGCGGCGTCCGACTATTCGCTAAAGTGCCGTTCGATGAAACGTGGGCGTTCGCTAAAACGTCATTCGATCAAGTGAGTGCCTCCCTTTTTCGTTTCGTATCTCCGTTTTCAAACAAGATCGCCGAAGCAGAAAAGCTGCATGCTGCTCGGGCAACATGCTAAATACAGTCAGGGCCATGGGGAGAGAATCACAGGTAAGACAGGCAAGGTGCAGGGGCAAAGTAAAAAAAAAATAAAAAACAGGGATCATTTATTATATACATTGCTCGCATTTGACCTTTGCTGGATTCGGATAGTATTTCAATGGACTACACGGGTGATATCTGTGGACTTGTTTATATCAACCCTCAAGTAATGTATAACAAACGTAAGCGAAGGTGTCTAGCTCGTTATTAGTCCGTTAAGCCCTAAAATTGAGAGTTTACTTAAATAGAATTGTCCTAAAGCTAGAATACCAGAACCTTTCCTCACGCAGACTGTCGCCCTTCACGGGTTCCACATTTTGTGCTACTAGTGCTGCAAATACCACTGGACAGAGGTTCGAATGCTTGCTTTTACTCCTGTTTTCCTCTGTTGTCAGAGAGTCCAGCTGTAGGGAGTTTGGAGGCTGAGGAAGCTTTTGGAGACCTCCAGCAACGTCTCTTTTAATTGGAAATGACAATTCAGACTAAACGGTGTATTTTCCGGATACCCAAGGCTGGAACAAAAATGTCACGAAAAAGTATAAACATTCCAAATTACGGCACTATTGCTATGCATATTTTGGGTAGTTCAATACATATCATACAGGTGGCACCATGACAGACCAGCACACGACAAAACAGCACGCGACAAAACAGCACGGTCAAAACAGCACGCGTCAAAAAAGCACGTCGTCAAAACAGCACGACGACAAAACAGCACGCGTCAAAATAGCACGCGACAAAACAGCACAGCGTCAAAACGGCACAACGACAGAAGAGCACGTGCCAAAACAGCACGGCGTCAAAACAGCACAGCGACAAAACAGCACAGCGTCAAAACAGGACATTGACAATAGAACTACGGTTTGGCGTTTTCGGTTTTAATTGTTTTAATTATTTTGAAATTCGGCGTACATTTTTCGGTTTTTATTTCAAGCAGAAGTTTTCGGCTTATTGCTGAGTAAATTTGTAGACTCAGAAACTTTTCAGTCTGTAGGGCCAGCAAGAAGGAGAAGAAGAAGAACCAGGGGCTTGAGATAGAGAGCTCGAGACCGAGGGCACCATCGCGGACTGTCGACCGAGATGGAATGTACATATAAGTAAATATATGAAGGGCAGATGAACAACCCTTCATATGGTGACCCGGACGTGATCCCGACCTCAGCAAACTGAAATCCACACCTGACAGGACAACGCAACGGCAAGTCACCGTCGTTTTTCCCTTCACAGTTCTTCCCACAGTAGCCCGACATGGCTGACGCTAACGCCGGAGGTGAACAGCCGACCACCGAACAATTGGTCCAACAACTCGGCACTATCAGCCGCCGACTACCCACATTCTGGCCTGCGGACCCGGAATTGTGGTTCGCGCAAGTAGAGCAGGAGTTTGCCCGTAGAAACATCACCGCACAAATGACAAAATTTCGTGAGGTCGTCACGTCCTTGTCGTCTGCAGAGGCAATGGAAGTGAGAGACATTGTCATTTCTCCACCAGACCAAGAGCCCTATGAACACCTCAAGCGAGAATTGATCCGGAGAACCACCGCGTCAGAACAGCGACGCCTGCAACAATTGATCACGGCTGAGGAACTTGGAGACCGCAAGCCGTCGCAGCTCCTACGACGCATGACACAACTTTTGGGCAGTCGAGCCTCCTTGCGGGATTCTTCCCTTCTACGAGAACTCTTTTTGCAGCGTCTGCCTTCGGATGTCCGCAGGATCCTGGCAACATCCAGCAATATTCCTCTCGACGACCTCGCCGAACTCGCCGACAAGATTCTAGATACGGCCCCACCAATGATTCAGGCGACCACTTACCCCACAAGTGGCCACCCGCTGCCTGCGACAGAGGCGTCTTCCTTTGATTTTCAAAGGCTGCGCGATGACGTAGCCCATTTGATAACTGAGGTGGCTGCTCTTCGACAACATCGTCCTAACCTGCCTCAACCGAATCACATGAGACGCTCTTTCTCAAAAGGCCGAGCAGACACACCACCAGTTTGCTGGTACCACCGTACCTACGGACCCCGTGCGCACAACTGCTCTCCACCTTGCAGCTGGCCGAAGGAAAACCCCAGAAGCACTTACTGAAGGTGACAAGTCAAGTGCTTCCTCCCTCTCCAGGTCACTGTTTTGCCTACCTTGACGATCTCCTCGTTGCAAGCAGAAATCAAGAAGAACACCTGGAGCACCTCCGCCTTCTCATGACACGTCTGGAGGAGAACGGCGTCATCATCAACCTAAACAAATGCCAGTTCGGCGTTCAGGAATTGATTTTCCTTGGGCATCGCCTTGACACCAACGGCATTAGACCACTACCGGATAAAGTAGACGCAATTATTCGTTTTCCGAAGCCCCAGAACCTCAAGAAATTGAGAGAATTCCTGGGATTCATAAATTTTTTCCGGCGTTTTCTTCCTAACTGTGCTACTACCATCCAGCCTCTTACAGAGGCCCTCTCTCCTAAGAACAGCAAAGACCAAGACATCATCTGGACGGATCGCAGAGTCCTCGCATTTGAGAGGATTAAGGACGACCTCGCGAGTGCCACGATGTTGGTTCACCCGGTGCCTAACGCTCCAACGCGTGTCATGACCGATGCGTCCGAAGAAGGCGTCGGGGCTGTTTTACAACAGAACATTGAGCAGCAATGGCAACCTCTCTCCTTCTTTTCTCAGAAACTACGCCCATCAGAAAAGAAGTATAGTACTTTTGGAAGAGAACTCTTGGCAATACATCTCGCATTGAAACATTTTCGATACTTCCTCGAAGGACGCTCCTTTCACATAGTCACCGATCACAAGCCCTTGACTTATGCCTTAACATCCAGTGGACATACATACTCTCCTCGAGAAATCAGGCAAATGGCGTTCATTATAGAATTCACAACCGATATCAGATACGTCAAAGGTTCTCGCAACAACGCAGCCGACGCTCTCTCCCGCGCAGATATACAGTCGTTGGAAGGAACCTTCTTGAGTACCGTCGATTTTCATCAGATGGCGCGCTCCCAACAGTCAGACCAAGAACTTCAAAATCTACGCTCTGGACACACCGCGCTCAGGTTCGAAGATCTTCATCTTCCATGGTGCAGTGCCACTCTAACGTGCGACATCTCTACAGGCACACCACGGCCGTTTGTTCCTCAGCAGTTCCGTCGTCAAATCTTCACGGCTCTGCACTCACTCGCACACCCTGGCATTCGGGCCACACAACGCCTAGTCACATCACGATTCGCCTGGCCCAAAATCAATGTCGATGTTCGCACATGGACACGTACTTGTCAGCAGTGCCAAAAGGCAAAAATTAATCGCCATACAGTTGCGCCAGTCGCCAGGTTCAAGCTCCCAGATACCAGATTTTCCGAAGTTCATATCGACCTTGTTGGACCATTACCACCTTCAAATGGATTTACGTACATTCTCACGTGCGTTGATCGATTCACACGCTGGCCAGAAGCAACACCACTAACCAATATCACAGCTGAAGAGGTCGCCCAAGCCTTTATGACAACATGGGTCTCACGCTTCGGCGTACCGGACAAAATCACAACTGACAGAGGCCGACAGTTTGAGTCCCGCCTTTTTGCACAACTCCTACGGATTTTAGGAGCAACGCGAATCCGCACCACGTCCTATCACCCGACCTCAAACGGTCTAGTGGAACGGTTTCATCGGCAACTGAAGACATCGCTAAAGGCCTGCAAAAATCCAACAAACTGGTCAGAAGCACTCCCACTCGTTTTACTGGGTCTTCGTACGGTCTACAAAGCAGACCTCTCCTCTACACCGGCTGAACTCGTTTATGGTACGACCCTAAGGCTGCCAGGCGAGTTTTTCCATACTCTCGAAGAAGAGACGGTACCAGACATGCAGAACTACGTATCAAGACTCAGGACGACGATGAAAGCTTTGCGCCCACCACCTACACGACAACCGCTTAACAGAAAAGTTTTCATGAGCAAAGACTTAGATACGTGTACAGACGTTTTCGTTCGCAGAGACGCAATGCGGACACCTCTGCAGGCCCCTTATGACGGACCGTTTTCCGTCATTCAACGGGGCCCCAAGGCTTTCCTTTTAGACCTAGGAAACAGACACGACATGGTGTCTGTTGATCGACTGAAACCCGCGTACATTGAGAGTGTACAAGTTTCGCCCCAAACACCATTGAAACCATCGTTGCGACACCCTCCACGACTTCAGACCAAGTCATCAATTTGCCGACATGTGCATTGGCAAACCGTGCCTTGGCCTTCCCGGAGGGGGGAGTAATGTAGGGCCAGCAAGAAGGAGAAGAAGAAGAACCAGGGGCTTGAGATAGAGAGCTCGAGACCGAGGGCACCATCGCGGACTGTCGACCGAGATGGAATGTACATATAAGTAAATATATGAAGGGCAGATGAACAACCCTTCAAGTCCTTTTCGATTTATTGACGAAAACCAGTATACTGACGAAAATGCAATATTTCAAGGCGTTTGTTTAAAATGAATTGTGAGTAAACCGGGTACTGGATTTCTTGTTTGTTACTGTCTATGGCAGCCGACGCGACCTGTTCTGCAAGACGCACCGGGGCCTTATCGTGATCTAACATTATCGTCGTGGGCTCATATTTGTACACAGGACGAACATGAGCTTTATTGCTACTGCGGTCGGAGAGGCAAATATCAAAATACAAAAATTTGCAAGCATTGTACTCAGTGCGTCTTTCCCCCATTTTTACGACTGCGAGAGGTGGTTAATTCGTGCAGTCCAAGAAACGACAATAAATCAATTGTATTTATGCCCTCCTCTAGTAGACGGAAGCTAGGGGTGTTAAAAAAATGTGCGGCATTTACGGATGCACTTTAATTTTATTGTTCAGTTCACGATTAAACTCTCTTTTTTGAACAAAGAATTCGGCACACAAATCCCTATCAGGTAAAAAACCCACATTTCGTCCTGAAGACCATAACGTATGTTCAACTTTTGTTGAAAGTTGAACTCTCGGAGACAGGCTAAAAAGTGCGGAAGGAAATGGTCATAAGGTCAGTAATGAAGCACTTCCCACACCCACCAATCCAAACGCCCTCGAAAACACGGACCTTTTTCAGTTAAAACCTAATTTTTGAAAAAGATGTTGTGGTACTTTTACCGGTTTTATTTGCTTAAGCCGAAAACGCTGAACCCTAAATATAGCAAAGGAGTTAAAAAATGCATGTCTCAAAGTATACGCACTGTAAAGGAATGGAGGGTCTAGGCCAATTCCTCGAAGGTCATCTCGTCGACGGCCAATTTGTCGAATCCGTTCTCATGGGAGCAAGTTGGGAGTGGGGAGTATACTCGATGCGCACATGAAGGCTCCCTGGGCAGTACCGAAGCCCCCGCTGTTGCGTATTCTGGCTATTTCTCGAGCAGTTCTGCTAATATTGACGATCAAGTTTGCTGGTTATGTCGTCTACAATAAATGCATCAATCGCACGGCAATGTGATGTTGTTAGTTGTTAAAAAAGAAAAAAAAAACAGAAAGTGTGTGCGGCAACAATGTGCTTAGCCCGTGCTGTACGGCAACAGAATTAAGGCTGTGACATGTTTCTGCTTCACCGGTTTCCACTCGGTCGAGGCCTTCGTCGGCAATAATCTGTGAATTTAACTCAACACAACTTCTCGCCTGCAAGCTGCAGCCGCGTGTTTCCGGAACAGTTTAGTGTCGCGGTAATCGGTGTAATCGGTGCATCTCCCGCTATTTTTTTTTTTTTTTTTTTTTTTGGGGGGGGGGGGGGGGGGAGACGTTTTACGCTTAGGTGGTAATTACGAAACGACGAGTACTGCGGAACCTCACCGGATCGCCGCAAACCAGACGGTTCATAACTTGAACTTACGGATTTCGTTTTCACAATAACTTTTCGTCTTTCGCTAGATCTAAAAAAAAATAAATAAATAAATAAAAAAACAGACAACGCTTCCAGCATCGACGCGAAGATATCACCTCTAACTACCCAATCTCTTCAGAGATCAGCGTAGTTAAGTAGTAGTAACTGCTGCTAACTTCGTGTGTTTTTAGCAATAACATCGCAGCACCAGTCCGGACACTGACTTAGCAATGAAATAGCCAATAAATTACTTTATAACCGAGCGACAATAAATGAAAGGAGGTTCGAAAATATTCGTGCGGAGAGAGGTGAAGAGCGCGCTCGAAGTTTTGTCGCTGTGCTGTTTTGACGCCGTGCTGTTTTGGCACGTGCTCTTCTGTCGCTGTGCCGTTTTGACGCTGTGCTGTTTTGTCGCTTGCTATTTTGACGTCTGCTGTTTTGTCGCCGTGCGGTTTTGACGCTGTGCTGTTTTGACCGTGCTGTTTTGTCGCGTGCTATTTTGTCGTGTGCTGTTCTGTCGCGTTCCCCATACAGGTAACTGCGGGCAATTCGGCCATTTTTGCTGCTACCATACAAACTAAGTTCCAGTAATCGTGCATCTTCTAAGAAATATGCCTGCATACGTGTATACACTATATAATTAATTTACGAAGGAGCTACATTTATGTAAAACAACCCTGTTCCATGAGCACTTCAAAGATAATCAGACACAGGGCCTTTAAAACATTTGCGAACCAGCGTATGCAGAGCGACAGCGCAAAGTCGGAGTCCCGAGCTAATTTGCCGACCACCCAAAGGCCCATGATATGAATGCCACTTCAAATGCCTTGAAAGCGGGATGTGATATCGTCCTAAATCATGAACATGCAAGGGACAGAATTCCAACGTCTGAAACACTTGCGCCACCGCTCCACCGATTCTTCGCAAAATTGCCTTGTGTCGTGTGGACGGGCGTGGAGGTTCATCGGCGGAATTGCCTCCGCCGATAGCTTTCGGGATTTGTAACCCAATTTTAGAGGTAAAAGGGACGAGCAGGCTTATAAAGTGTACTGAAGAACGTCAATATCGGCCTAACTCAACGTCTTGTACAACGGGTAAACGAAGTCCAGCTCCTCGAAGAGCTTGACGCCAAACCAGGAAACCGGTGCTGGGAAGCGAGCCGATGCGAGATCGCGGAGCGGAGTCATCGCCCTGACGTCACGGCACGCCTCACCCAATCAGGGCGCGGCGACCGCAGCG